CAGGCAGCTTGGCCCAGAAGTGTGGGGTCCGGGAAGGACGCCGGAGCCGGACGTGGAGACACGGCGCAGGTCTGTGGCACTGACCGCTGCGAGACCGGGCCGTGGAGGCTTCCTTGGGAGAGAGGAGCGAGGAGGCTCGAGGCTGAGCCCCAGAGCAGTCCAGCGATTCGCGGGCAGCGCAAACCAAGGAGTGACTCGGGCGACGGAGCGAGAGGGAGGAGGGGTCCTGGGCGCTGCGAGCAGAGAGCACGCGGGGAGAACGCGGCGTCCACGCGTCTGCTGGAGGCGGCACGATGAGCGACGAAGGGACGGTGACTCCAGCCATGCGTCCGCTGTGGAGTGACGGCAAAACACCTCGCAGACGGCAGGGCACGGGCACTGGCCACGGAGCGGGTGTGGCTGGTGGCTGAACACCGCGGGCAGTGGGGCAACAGCTCGACTGCAGCGGGTTCAAGGAAGGGGGGGCCGGCCCCTGGCTGTGAGGGGGCGGTGCTGGGGAGCGGGCAGCCTGGACTGCCCAGGGCACGGGCCGGCAGCGGGGATCCGAGGAGGGGCAGAAGTCACTGCACTGGTTTTGAAGGTGAGAAGGTCAAGGAGTCACCGGAAAGACCATCTCTGTGACGCTGAAATCACCGAGAATCACGGCCGCCTCAGCGTGGGAGCGAGGGCCGGCGCTAAGGCTTTGCGGAAGGAGAGAGGACGGCTGTGGAGGGCGGGGGTCACTGCAGCTCACAGCACCGGGGCAGGTGGTGACGAGGGACAGAGGGTCTCAGTCCACCTCCAGGTCCTGCGCTAGAACACGATGACAGCGATGAAATTCTGTCAAGTGCCTTTGTGACTAAAAACAGAGGTTTGGCTTCTCGACTGTGGGCCTCACTTTGCCACCTGCACGTCGAGTGCTGTGGGCTGAGCTCTGTGCGCCGGGCTCTGCGCGCCGGGCAACGTCGGGCCGAGGCTCTGGATTCTCGGAGGAGCGGCCTTCGGTTCCAGGGGCAACTCCACGACCGGCTGGTCTCTCGTCTGCGCAGCTTCACACTGTGGTGGGGACTGCAGAAAGTCCAGGAGTCTCCCGAGCCCCTGCAGCGTGGGGGAGTCGACCACACTCTGCCTCCTCTGGGGACCACGCCAGAGCTTGAGTGTAGGCTTTACGAGGGTGGCTTTAGAGTAGGCTGTATCCAAGTTTGTGGTCCCCGCGCCCAAGGCACGGCCTTTGTGGTGTCTCGCCGGACGCCAAGGGTGCTGACGAGATCCCCTACTCGGGCTGGGCTGCAGAGCCGCTGCCCCCGCTCTCCTCCGGCACAGAGATCCAGCAGGGACGGGCTGGGCTGGAGCCACTCGGCGAGGGGAGCCCCACGTGGACTTCTGGGCCTCTGCACAGCTCCCCTTCTCTCCGGCGCCTGGTCTCGCACGTTCCGGCTGCCGCAGACTTCGACCTCTGCTTCTTCAGCTCAGCGGAAGTGCCGTGTTCTGCCTGGGAAACCTCCCAGGCAAAGTGCAAGGCCACCCGGGGTTCACTTCGAAACTTTCCTCCTCAGGCCTGCGTGTTGTGCTGCCTGTCGTCCGCTGGATTTACCTGTGGCAGGAGGGCCGGCCTGGCACCCGTTCCACGTCACTAATAGCTTACTGCGTATCGCGGTCTCCCAGACAGCAGTAGCACGCGCAGCTTTCCAGTCCCACCGGTTTGAGGAATTCTGATTGTCACAGAACCTCTGCGGGACTAGCATGTACCCGGTTTGGGAAACCGAGATTTCTAAAACTCCAAGCTCAGCCCTTGTGGAGGGCCTGGACGCCGATGGGAAAGGCCGCGTCTCAGGGCTCTGCAACGCGGACTGGCACTCTGCCGTCAGCCCGGCGCGCGCTCCACTGGAAAGGCACACGAGGGCAAACTCTCAAATGCCAGCGCAGGAAGCATCAGGCTGTCACGCCACAGCCCCACGAGCAGAGCGGGCCGCGCGGCCAGTGCGAAGCCTGCAAGGCTGGAATCAGAGCGGAGCAATCTGCCTGCCGGGCCTGGGACTAGCAGGTGGTCAGTCAGTAGAGCCCGTTAAAGCGGAGTGTTACTGAAATGATGCTACGCGCAACCTAAACCTTTTTGCGACATAAAAAGAAAGCGCACTCATTTAATAAAAGTGGCGATATTACACTGTTTGGAAGAAACAAGATTTTTTTGTGGCACAATCTATTTAAAAAACTGTTCCTGACATCAGTGGTGGTTGGCTCGGGCTTTCGGCTCTGGTGTGGGGGTCTGACAGCTCCTGCCACCTCCTGTCCTGTCTCAGCGTCTGCAGGCCGCTCTGTCGCGCACCGCACACTTCCTGCCTCTCGCGTCACGGCACGTCCCGGCGTCATGGCCCCGTCAGTCCACAGCGGTGTCTCACCTTCGTACACTCCGCACCTTGTCAAGCTAGGGTTTCCCACAGGGTGGCCGACCTCAGGGCAGCTCTCTTCAGGACGTCGCACACGTGAAATCGGGAATTTTACTCACCGCCAACGGCACGTTGTCAATGACGTCTTTGATACTGGTGATTTTCAGAGATTCTTATCTTTTTATTTTTCCAAAGTGGAACTGAAAAATATTCCCCTGTGTTGTCCCCAGACATTCTGGGAGCTCCTGAGCGCCAGGCTGGGGCGAAGCCGTCACGCTCATGGATGGGAAAGTGGCATCTGTCTTTCTCTTTCTAAGTTCTCCCCAGCTGGGATGCAAAGGAGCACGATTCGGGTGTGGATCCATTCCTTTTCTCAAAACCTATCTCCCCAGAAGGCACGATCTTTAGTCTCTTCTGGTCTTGAACACTTCCACCTCCTTTTCACATTTTCTTAAACAGTGAAATTGACTTTTTGAAGAAATCTGGATTAACTGTGTAGGAAGCACCCCTCACTCTGGGTCCCTCTGCTTGCTTCCTGGGGTGTCGTCTGGCTTGCTCCTCTGGCTCGCGTGTTCCTGGAAACCCCAGTTGCGTCTGAGTGCCCGGCTGGCTCCGACGAAGCGTCCTAGCGGTGCTCTGCACGGGTGAGTCGCACCGAGCCGCCCACCGTCAGGGATGCGGAGTCTGATCACGTGGGTCAAGCTGGTGGCCCCGGATGGCTCTGGGGACACGCTTCCCCTTTGCAGCCAGCAGGTTCTCCACGGCACGACGCTTGGGCACCTGTGCGAACGCCCAGCTCTTCCATCTTGTCCCAGTGACGCTCGCATCTGTCGACGATCCCTGCCTGAACCAGCTGTTGCAATTCTGCAAGGGAACACTCCCCGGCCGGCCTTTGCCCAGTAGACTCTCTTGGTTTTCGAGACCCAAACTCAGGTTTTGACCATATTGGGTTCTGCATTTCGCACCTATTTCCCATTACAATGGTTTCTTGGCTGATATTTATACGGAAAATTTATTTTATTACCCTAAATTCAGTAACATTTTAAACAAAGCAGATGTGTAGAGTTCTTAAGCTACGTTATCATAAACGATGGGTAGAATATCAACATCACTTATGTTTTGAAAATCTATATAGCACCTTAGCAAAGGGGGCACGCACCTCGTATGCTGCGGGCATCGGGGGAAACATCTGTTACTCCACATAAAGCTCGGGATGCGGGAGAGAGTGAGCGAGAGCTCAGAAGACAGACGGCAGCCTCTGTGCCTGACCTCTTCTGCTGGTAGGAAGTGGGTCAGTCCAGCCCACACTGGGGGAAGGGGCTTCCACAGGTGTGACTACAGGAGCTGGGACCAGTGGGGCTCCTGTCAGCAGCAGCCACCACAGTTTCTGTTAGCACTTTCTCCTTGCTACGGGCCACCTTTTCCTGCTTCTTTGAATAGCTGGTGATATTTTATTACCGGATATTGTGGATGTCACACTGAGTCTGAATTTTGTGGTCTTCCTTTGAAAAGTTTTGTCCTGGCAGTTCTGCCTGATCCCGTGGAAGCGGGCCACAGGCTCTGCGGGGCCCTACTGTGGTTCGGTGGTGTCCCTCTCCATGCGGGCAGGTGGGAGCTCCAGGGTCCCCAGGCACCGTGACCCTTGGACTCTCCACGTGGCTGCAGCCCCCAGCAGCTGGCCTCGCCGAGTCTTGCTCTGCTCGCACGCAGCACTCCGTTGGCCAAGGAGAGCCCCCTGCTGACTACTGGGGCCGCGGCTTCCTCTCTGGCAACCTGCCCCGAGAACCCGCTCCCCTGCGTCTCCCCTCTGCCGGAGGTGGCTGCTCTGTGGCGGCGTGGTGAGGACGGCGCTGGCTGCCTGGTGTCCCTCGCAAGGCCCACAGCCTGCAACAGTGATGCGGGCTTGGCCACGCTGACGCTGCTCGTGTGGGTGGCGAGGTGGTGGCCCGGACTCCCTCATGGCCAAAGCTAGCTCCAAATTCAAAGTTAACATTGGTTTGTTACCTTCTTATTTAATTTTATATTTGTGTCTATTTTCTTATACATGGACTGTTAGTATGCTACTCACATTAACATATTTATTTATACAGTAACATACTTAAAATAGTTTCAGAATTATAATACCAACATCACCACTGACGAAACTGCTCAATGAAGTTCAAGGTTTTTGGGAGTATTTCTGTTCTTCAAATATATCTCACAAAAGCCATATAGATATAGTCAGAGTACTGTTTTCTGTTCTTTTGTTTCTTTGGATACAGGGTCTTGCTCTGTCGCCCTGGGTAGAGAGCAGTGGCATCAGCCTAGCTCAAAGCAACCTCAAGCTCCTGGGCTCAAGCGACCCTCCTGCCTTGGCCTCCCAGAGTGCTGGGATTATACGAATGAGCCACCGTGCCCGGCCCAGAGTGCTGTTTTCAAAGTTACTTGAAATATTAACAATTCTTTTGTGTGGTTATAATACTAATCGGAAATACTGCTGGGTTCTTTTGTTTCAGTCATTTTAAGTTAAAAAAAAATTTAATGTCTGACTCAAAATACGTAAATATGTAAAGCCAGAGTTCTATAAAAAGGTATATTCAGAGAAGTCTCTCTCCACTCTCCACCCTCGCCGCACCCCCACACGCCCACAGGTAGCCGTTTAGATCGGCTTTGCTCCTAGTGCTTCTCTGCAAAAACAAGGAAACACATGCGTTTCTGTCATTTACCTGTCACCCCCATCTGTGGGTCACGCTCGCAGGAGCAGGCCATGGACAATGCCACACAGCCCGTGAGACAGCCCGCCCCAACCCTCACTACCGCCCGGCTCACGCAGCACCAAGGCCACAGGACGGAGACGCTTGTACTGGTTCACACGTTTCTCTCAGCGGGACAGTTTAGTCAAAGTGTCATCAACCCCAGCGTGTACTGGACTTACCCAGAATTCCTGGAGCTCTGTTAGATGGCTGACATTTTCGATCTTTTTGATTCTATTTGATGCAATGTCCAACATCGTGAGTTTGTTCTAAAATAAGGAGATAAAATTTTTCCTGGATTACCTCAGTTCAACAACGGTTGCGTGACTATGCGTGTAGTGTCTCTGCCTTCCCGGGACAGGGCGTGCCAAGGAGGGTGATGCGACTGCCCACTTCCTGCAGCCTCCCTGGGCCAGTGTTTCCATCAGGACCTGCACAGCCACCTCCTCAAGCTCGCGTGATCGCGGGATTCGAGACCGCGCCACGCTCCAGCCCTGTGCTTCCAGACGCCCGTCCCACGAGCACCCCAGTGAGATCGCAGGCCCTGGGAAGAACGGTGTGGCCCTGGGGCTCTGAGAGGGGCTTTGATGTCAGGGTGACAACTATGGTAACATTTATTTTGTGCTTATCACGAGGACGTGCACGATACCAAGTAATCCTCAAAACACAATTCCTCTCTCCATTCAGGGATGAGAAACCTGGGGGGGTCGGGGCGGGGGTCAGAAACTGCCCAGGCGCACAGTGGGGGTGAGAGGTGGGAGCTCGGGCCCAAGCCCACGCTGCTGTCTGGGAAGAGGCCACCAGGACACAGGTGCAGGGGGAGGGCCGGGCCCTGCGGGGCGAGTCTTGTGCTGCCTGAAACTTGCTGCTGACGGAGCGAGGAGGTGAGCAGATGCTCAGTGGACCGAGGACGGCGCCCAGGGACACCGAGCGCCTGCGGTGGGAGCACACACGCCCCTGGGAGACAACATTGTGTTTTCATGGTCGTCTACTCGAGAAACGACATCAGACACTCACTTTCCGATGCACGTCAGCTAAGCCTGGGTAACTTTTTTTTAAAGCTTACAGAGTTTCAACATTTAACGGAAGAATAATTTTGTAATGAAAGTTACATCTATTAAAGCTCCACTGCTTGCCATGGTATGTTTAATCAAATGGACCAGCAAGTTTTCTAAACTCTAAAGGAAAACGTTTCCAAGCTGGCTGAGAGCCTCGGATAGAAGTTCGCTCCCTTCCTCTCTGCCCTCACCCCCCGCCCTGCCCCGTTTGAGAATTCTCTTCTGTCCTGGTATTCTGATTCCAAACCCTCCCAAGTTTTAAGGGAAAGTTAAAAAAGTCTCAAAATTAAAAAAACCAAAAACTATAAAAACACACAAGAGCACCAGCCGGCAGCTCTGCTGACTGCAAAGTGCCGTGGGGCGGCCTCACATCTCCGCGGGGGCCCTGCCCGCCCACCGCGCACACGTGCTGCCGCGCACTGGCCGAGTCAGACGCACGCACAGGAGGCCACCGCTGTCCAGCAAGCTACACGCTCCCCAACGTCCCGCTTGCAAGGCTGGGCGCGAGCGTGCCTCGGAGGCAGCCCCTTCACACCATGTCATCTGGGCGCGCGACTGTGCCCACTCGCAGAGTCCTGAGCGCTACCGTGTGCTGGGGAGGAGCCTGGGGGCTCAGGGCAAGAAGGGCCTCAGGAGAACTCTGAGGAGGATGGGACTGTGGGCAGCCCGAGGACACATGGCGCTCTGCACCGCGCCGGGACGCTCGAGGTCACCAGGTGTGCGGACCCAGAGACTGCAATGAAGCGTCTGAAACGCACAGCAGGGCTTGAGCTCGCGAAGTCTCAGAGCCAAGGCTGCACTAGGGCAGAGACCTGGCGGTGGCTCCGGCTGCTGGGACTGTTCCCTGGCTTCTGGGCTCAGGGGCGCAGTCACGCACGCCACAGTCTTTCGTGGTTTCTGGGGGAGCTGGCCAATGCTTTAAAAGCGCGTCTGAAAGCACAACAGCAAGAATTGCCTAGAAGAAAAATGGAGAAAGGAATGGGACAGGGTGGGGCAAGCAGGCAGCCCAGAGGTCACAATGCAATGCCACAGAAATCAGCCAGGGAGCCACCGCAGCAAGAACACGTGGAAGAGCCCGGAAGGTGGACGGGCCAACTCCAGAACAAGACAGGTGTCATGGGACGGCAGGGAGGAGGTCGTCTGACCAGCCGGGACAGCACATTCGCCACGAGGGAAAAGGTACGCTTACTTTCTTACCCTCCACCACAAAAATAACCTCCAGATGGATTAAGAGATAAAACCTCAAAGAAAGTATCTGTTTGATCGCTAGTTGAAGAGAATCCCAGAGGAAAGACGGTCACATTTGACCTTGTCTATCCTTTAATACAGTTTTTTTTCTGTTTTGTTTCAGAGGCCCGAGGACGAGCTGCTCAGCCGAGATCAGGGTGCAGCAGCCCCACGGGTGCAGGTCTGAGTCGCACCTTCTCATCCGCCTGGGGACCCCCTGCTCAAGTGAACGCCGCTGCAGGCTGCAGGCAGGCCTGCCTCCAGGGGACGCTAGGGCGCCTGCGGGTGGCTGCAGGGCAGGAGGGCACCGAGGTGGGCGACCTGCTGCGCGCCCAGCCCCAGGGCCCCCCGCACAGCCCCCGGCTCCAGCCACAGTCAGGCCCTGCCTTTCGGGGATGCCTCGACTTATCATCGCTCCTGGCAGGAATGCAGAGCTTATACCCGGTTTGTAAACTTTTAATTAATTGCAAAGTCGGAGGAAGGTGACTAAACTTTCCACAGGCAAATTCTAATTTTTGCAAAATTTTATGTAGATGTTGGTGAAATGAATTCAAAATGTGGTTTTTCCTACCAAACAACATTACTAATGGCAACCAGGCCCTGGGGCTGAGACACAGAGGCCAAAGGAGGCCTTATGAGATTAAAACTCTGTTTACAATAACAAAAATGACCAATCTGGTTACATTTGCTGGCAGTTAAACAAAACAGAAAAAAAAAAAAAAAACCAGTAAAATTGAGAAAAAGTCTTTTATTTGTCTTGAATACTGTACTGAGGAAAAGCAGGTTGAACTGAGGCAGCTGTGGGCGGGGGCTGTCTGGTGCCTGAGCCAGAAGAGCAGGGGCCGGAGGGGCAGCGCAGGCCTGAGGGAGGGGAGGAAGCCCAGCGCCAAGAGGAGAAGGGGCAGAGCTGAGAGCCGTGTGCCCGTGGGCCGGGAAGTGGTGGCTGAGGCAGCCGGGAGCAGGGGCGGGAAGCTCAGGGGCCTGGAGGGGAGAAGGAAAGCACAGGTGTTGCCACCAGCTACCCTTGCAGTACAGGGCCATCTGTGGGCAGGCAGGGTTTGCTTTTTTCAAATCTTCCAAATGCCTACGGCACACGGTGGACACCTGTGCAGAAACCCCACACAGCGGCTCTGCCTAACGCGTCAGCCCCCTCAGGGCCGCCAGGCACACGTCTCCTGCGCCCCCCAGCCCGAGGAGGCTCCCTCGGTTTTCACCACGGGAAGGCCTCTCCGATAAACCTCTCCGGCAGCGCGTCCGCCCAGCACCAGCCCGGGGCCGGCGTGTGCGGCCTGGCCAGCCGCCGGCCCTGCCCGGAGCCCGCTGCCCACACAGCCCAGACAGACCCGGGGGCGGCTTACGTTGTTCTCCAGGCCCTCGATGAGCTCGATGCCGTTGTGGCTGAGGTAGAGCTCCCGCAGGTTCACCAGGCTCTGCAGCCCCTCGATCTTGGTCAGCCGGTTGCTCTGCAAGAACAACGCAGAGGGCAAGTATTAAAACGGCTTTTAGGAAATGAGGTTTCTTATCATCTTGAAGAATTCTAAGACTAGGGCATTTCACTTAAAATGTGCTAGAATGAGATTTGCGTAGAGGGTAAAAACGGATCAAAATTTTGCATCTGCTGTACTGGGCCAAAATTCACGCACGGGAATAAATAGGATTTTATATAAAGAATTCACTTTTTTTTAGACATTTGTGGGGAAGGTTTACCTGAATTAATTTAATAATTTTAAAATGCCAGAATTGCTGAATATTTTAAAAGTAAATTAATTCTTATTTCTTTCATTGTATGTTACAACTCAGATGAGACTTTTTACAAGGAGCCTGTGGCACGTCTGCCTTACCAAGGGCAACGGTGTTTCCACGTGCCCCTCACGGTCGGTCAGGGGACCCCGTGCCGGGCCCTGTCCCCAGAGCACCCCATCCCATCTTGCCTCAAGGGTCTGATTCCACTAACTTGTTTCCAACAAAAATGGTGACATGGGCGCAGGCAAACTCAAGCGCTGGCTGATGCCCAAACACAGGAGTCTAACACGATTTTGCTCTCTGTACGACGGGGGAGGAATTGCTTCGGTCATTGAGCCAAACACTTTAGGAGGATTTGGAACAAGATTGATCTTCTCCCATCCAAGTACTAACCAGCCCCTGGGATCAGACGACATTGGGCGAGCCCAACCTTCTGAAGTCCCCTTTGGCTAAAAACCATCTAAGACTGTTAGTAGGAAAAGGAATATAACCCTTAAAGAATTAAATTTTAGCCAGGCGAGGTAGGTCTCGCCTTTAATCCTAGCACTCTGGGAGGCCGAGGCAGGAGGATTGCTTTAGCCCGGGAGCTCAAAACCAGCCTGGGCAATATAGTGAGACCCAGTCTCTAAAAAAAATGAAAAAAATTAGCCAGGCATCGTGGCGCATGCCTGTAGTCCCAGCTACTTGAGAGGCTGAGGCAGGAGGATCGCTTGAGCCCAGGAGATCGAGGATGCAGTGAATTGTGATGATGCCACTGCACTCCAGCCTGGGCAACAGAGCAAGACCCTATCTCAGGGGGAAAAAAAAAAAAGTGAAATTTTACTTCAGTGTGCGTGTGAGCGCACACGTGTGTGTATGTGCGCATGTGTCGAAGCTCAGGAAGATCGATACCTGCATACTGAGAACTGTCAGGTTGGTAAGCGCATCCAAGTTCTGAAGTTTAGTAATTTTGTTTTTCCCCAAAAATAAGCTCTCCAGGTTGGTCAGTGTGTCGATGTTCTCAATCGCCTGTGGAAAGGACAGAGGCACGGTCAGTGCTGCACAGCCAAGGAGCTGCGCCACGCAGAGGGAAGGTGCCGGGCTTGGGGGACAAAGCTGTCTGGGTTTTAGCTCTGCGATGTCAGACAAGTTACTCGTCTGCTCTGGAAACTTCCCAGTGAGATCGCACAGTATGAAAAGAAGGGCAAGAACATGGTGGAGAGTCCAAGGCTCTGTTGTTTGAGCTTATTCCTAACTCCAGAGTGCTGGGGTTCTGGGGAGCAGCGTGGAAACCTATGGACTGGCATATTTCCCAACACCCTTCCAGTCTGAGCCTCTGAGCTGACACGTCATCAAGATGTTCTAAACGGCATCCTCCAACACCGACTCCCGTGAGCCTCAGTCTCTACGGGGTTGAGATGCTGGAAGTTCTCGCCCGTCTTTGAAATCCTGGAATGCCCACTTGGGACTTGTGAGGTGGGGCCCTCATTCCGTAGCTCGCTGCCCCTCCTGCTCAGCTCCCACAGCTCCCGTTTCCCCTTGCTGTGAACACGTGCTCCCCCAGGCCGCCATAAACCCGCCACAGGCAGGGACGCCGCCGTCCTGCCTGGCCTTCGCAGGTGCCTTGTGTATTGCAGGTTGTTTAACGACTCTACTGACTTCAGTTTCCCTCCTTAGTTCACCACTCTCTTAGCACAAGCTATGCTTGAGATACTTCAGCAGACACAGAACAAGCAGGCTAAACACGTGCTAGCAGAGTGGGGGCTCCAGCCAGCGCGGAAGGGGCTCTCGTCTCGTCCGTCACAGCGGGCCTCGGCCGTGGGGCAGGGCAGGGCCTCCTCACAGGCTGTTGCCTGTATTAATTTGTGATGAGCCACAGTTCTCCTGGAATGTTCCACAGTGAGGTCCCTGATAAAATGCTGACATCTGGGCTGCTTTCTAGTTTTAAAAGTGCTGTTTTGCCATGCGTGGCCACGAGATCTCTGACAATAGCCATCCGGAGACTCTCGCCAAAACTGCCCTCCTTTGGTTTGTACCCTGCCCAGGCTCTCGAGGGCCCAGCAGGACTGACCAAGGTGTGCTATGATCCCTCCAGCAGCCAGGCAGAGGGCGCCTCAAACACAGGCTGTGGGTGGGCATGCTCGGAGATGCTTGCCTGAGCCGCCAAACGAGGCTGTGGATACACAGGCTCAGTGCTGCGACCTGGATCGGGAGCCAGGTGTGGGGCTCGCCGGGTCTTCTGGCTGACGAAGCTCCATCCCTGCCCATGGGAGTGACGCCTGCTCTCTGCCTAGCAGGTCCACCCCTGCGTCAGCCCTTTAGGAACGCCCTCCCAGGCTCCCCCCACAGATGCCAGCGACTCTTGACACCAGTTCTGAGTCAGCCGGTGAAGGACTTGCTCCTGCTCTCCTACGGAACACCGTATCGCGTTTCAGGAGTCTCTTATCTCCATTCTGCCCCACGGTTTCCACGTCAATGGATCCTGCAGAACAGAGCTGATCCTGCCGGGGATGCATCCTGGGGGGATGAAGCTGTCCAGGGAGGAAGGGCCAACCCAGCACTGCGCTCCGGGGTGTCTCAGCAGCAAGGCACCTCCTAAAGCCCCTGGTGCAGATGTCAGATCACTGCAAGTGGCCGCGTTGCTGTGCTGACGCGGGAGAAAACTACCACGAGCACGTCCAGGAGCAAGGTGCTCTGGGCTGGCTGGTTCCCCCCAGGCGAAACACAGCCACGTGGTCTGCGTCAGGGTCATGGTTTAGAAGAGCAGCTGAAATCCATGTGCAGAAGAAAGGCTCGACCACTCAGTTTGGGCACATATTCTTATTAGTGCTGACTTCCAGTGAGCATTTTTTCTTAAAAGAATGATTTCTCGGTTTATGAAAAAAATCACAGCACCATCAGAAAATAAAAGCCAACCACGCATCCTACACGCATCCCTGTTTGATCCACACACAGCCTGAGGACGCCAGTCAGTGCGTCTGCACCTACCCGGATGCGGTTGGATCCCAGCTCCAGCATCTCTAGTTGGTGTAAGCTGCTTAGGTTCTCAATTTTATTGATTTTATTGTTGACCAAGAAGAGTTTCTTCAGTCGCGTCAACTTGTCAATCCCTTCAATGTTTCTCAACAGATTAAAAGAAATATCTAGGACCCTGGGAATAAGCAAAACTTTTTTTAAAAAAAATGAGCACAGGTTGTATAGAATTTACCTAACTCAGAGGGACATCCCTACCCAAGGGGCTGCAGTCCCCATGGGATCATGTGCCCAGGAGCCCGGGAGAGAGGAGGGGCCGCTCAGTGTCCTGGTGCCCCGGCTCCCGCACTGTATTGGAGGCAGAAACCACGTTTCATTTACAGCTGTGTCTATGGCAGCACCTAACATCAGGCTCTGCACACAGAAGGGACCTGAGAAGTATTGAATTAAAAACAAAACAAACAAAAATCAACAAGCGACAAAGCGGCAAAAGCCCAGGTAAAGTTTTATCTAGGACCTGACTCCTAAAATTTATGTCATTTATTTATTTTAAAAGAAGTTCAAATGGCAAAAGAGGAAATTATGGATTTACCTTCCCCTCTACCTAATTCCGACACCATCCCTGAGTGGAGACTGGCCAGGAGTCCCCACTGCAGCCTTCCCAGTGAAGGTTTGCTTTGCAAGTCCAGACTGCCCAGCCAGCCGGCGACACGCACGAAGGTGCCGTGCCCTCCTGGAGCCCTAAACATGGGCAGGCAGGGACCTGGGAGCCAGTTACAGGGCAGGACCCTGTGGCGGAGGTGGCCTAGCACAGGCCAACAGCCGGGCATGGTCGGCTCTGGGAAGGCTGGGTGTGCCAACCCAGCCATCCCCCTGCACCCTGGTCTGCTCGGGTTTCAGGACTCACTCCAGCTCCGTCAGCGCCTCCAGATTCTCAATCTTCTTGATCTGGTTGTCGTAAAGATCCAGTTCTCGAAGACCCCGTAGCTCCTCCAGATTCTCAATGCATTTAATTAAATTTTGACGGAGGCAGAGGGTCTGGGGGACGGGAAAAGGACAATTGACGTAGGCAAGGGGGAGGCCACAAGGCAGCGTCAGCCGTTACTGGAGGACACGGGACAGGCCTTCCTGGTGGAAAGACATGCTTTCATTCTGCTGTTTTCTAGAAAGGTGCTGACCTTCGAGAGGCAGGTGAGTGAGGGTGCTAAGCTAGAACCGCCCATTCCACCGGAGGCTGGTGGCAGGCCCCGTGCCCAGCAGCCCTACTTGGAGACGGAGGGTCCGTCTGGGGTTGGGAGTCTGTGCCGTTTCCTGGCAGAACAAAAGAACTCTGAGTGGACTCCACTCTGAGAAACCAATTTACCTGAGGGCCATTAAGGACTGTGAAACCTGGTGAGTGTGTAACTGAACGCAGGCTCAGACCCGCCTCCGTCCACCGCCTGAGCTCCAGGGCCGCCCCTCAAGCTCACACCCCCCATGTCAGGATACAGACAGACAGCTGCCCAGATCCAGCGGCAGCTCGGTGCCTTCCGCAGGATGGGACAGGGCCTGCACCTTGGGACTGATTTCCCGGTGATGGATCTGCCCACACCCCGGGCGAGTGCCGCCAGGTCACCGCAAGGCAAGGCCAGGGTCCCTCTCACCTTCACTTTCTTCAGAACCTCAAACCCTTCGATCTTCCCAATGCGATAGTGATTCAGATCAACATCCTGAAACAAAAAAGAAATCTCGCTCAGCTGCAGCAAAGTGCCTGGAGACCTGTTTCCTAAACAGGAGCTACCACCAGAGGCCCGGCAGGTGGGCGGGGGTGGGGGAGAGGAAGAGGGAGGCGGCTGGGCAGCACTAGGACGGATCTGCAGCAGGCGGACGGCAGCGTGTGTTGCCAAAGGGTCTCTCACATTAGTTTTACATAAAACTGACCCTCAAAATGATTGGTGTGTGACACCTTTTCCTCACCCCCATGAATGCAAAACACATGCCCACGCTCCAAGGATAAACACCCTATCCCAGCAGTCCCCAACCTTTTTGGCACCAGGGACCGGTTTCGTAGAAGACAATTTTTCCACGGCCTGGGCTGGGGTGGGCAGTGGTTTGGGGATGACTGAAGCGCATCGCATTCATCGTGCAGTCAAACCCCTCTGCTAATGATCATCTGTATTGGAGCCGACCCCCAGCGCTAGCATCACGGCCTCAGCTCCACCTCAGACCGTCAGGCATTAGATTCTCATAAGGAACCACAACCTAGATCCTTCCATGCACAGTTTACAGTAGGGTTCATGCTCCTATGAGAATCTAACGCCACTGATCTGACAGGAGGCGGAGCTTAGGTGGTTATTCCAGCAATGGGGAGCGGCTGTAAATACAGATGAAGCTTCACTTGCTCCACACTGCTCACCTCCTACTGTGTGGCCCGGTTCCCAACAGGCCATCACGGACTGGTACCGGTCCGTGGCCCAGGGGTTGGGGACCACAGCCTTATGCCGTCACCATCAGAGATGCGCTGGGGGTCAGGAGGCCCAGCAGCCAGGTGCCACACAGCATGGGGATCTGTCCTCCCACAGCTGTCCACGGGCACACTGATTTTCAGAGCACTGCACACCGTGGACAACACAATCATTGGAGCCGTACAATTTACGATCTGCCACACAATGCCCAAGGGTCAAGCAGAAATGGGATTTCAATAACCTGTACTAAAAATAACAAGAACATAGGAATCTGACCCAACAAGGGGAGGCTAGGCGATCCCTCTAGGGGAGTCATTTACTAATCTGGCAGCTTCATACAAGACAAGCTGATGGGCAGGGTGGGCCGCACCACACCCCGAGGCTGGGCTGAGCAGACAGCATTACCTCTGCATCTCTGTCCAGGTTGATGGTTTCCATGTCCACAGGCAGCTCGTGTTCTTCTGAAAAAAGGAGAAGAAAAAGACAAGTCCATTCAGAGCCTCGTTCAGAGGAGGCAGTGGCCCCAGGCTTCTGGAAAGAACCGCCTCCCCGCGGAGGTCTGGAGAAGCTTGGCTTGTGGAGCCAACCCCAACCCCGAGGAGGAAGACCCGGACGGTACAGCAAGGCCCTGGAGGACGTGGGAGGGTTAAACCCGGCTTCAACAGTGGTGACTTTTAAATATCCTGAGTGTCCTGAATTCAGCTATTGGCAAAGGTCTCCAGACTTCCATCTGCACCTCTGAACTTCCCAAGAAAGGACACGCAGTCTAAAGCTGTTGGCACAAAGGAGGGCAGGGAGCCCTTGGGTTGTGCAGCTGGCAGCAGCCGGCCCTTCCCACGTTCTTTCCCTTTTTCTTGGTGGCAATAAGTCAGGCTATTCGAATACGGATCACACTGGGCACATCAGATGTTCCAGGACGTGCCTCTTATTCCTTTGGAAGGTGGCCCAGCACCTACAAATGCCTCTCTCTGCAAAGAGCAATACGAAATGCAGCACGGCTCAGCAGATAGGATCAAAGAGCCTTGCTGAATAATTTAAACACACTTCTCAACTGGGAGACTGGTGAACTAATTCCAGCAGAGAAACTCATTTGGATTTCTCCACCCCACAGAGCCGGCTTCCTCTGGGCTGGGGTGGCTGAGGGCGGCTGTGAGGGCGGCTCTTCCCCTTCACTGCATTGGAACTTGCTTAAGCTTACGTGCCGGAAAGGACTAAGACGCACATGGCAGACATGCACACAAAGGCACATACGTGTGCATGCAGACACACACGCACTCCTGAAAACTTTAACAGTAATTCCTTAATATCACCAGATATCCAGTCACTGTTCACATTTCCTCAACTATCTTCTCAATTCTTTCCCCAGTTTGCTTGAATTAGGATCCAAATGAGGCGATGTATTTCGAATGGATGGCATTTCTCTTGCAATTTTTTGTTGGATGACACAGGCTGCTCATCTTGTAGTGCCTCTCGCGTCTGGACACAGATTACGGCACCAGGATACTCTCGACTGTATTTCCTGCAAACCGCCTGTCACTGTTCCCGTCTCACCTGAGCTCACGCTGCCCCTCCTTCCCTAGAGCACATCTGCATCTGGTGCCGCAGTGGACCTCACAGTCCGGGCCTCATGCCGACGCTGGCTCCTTCCAAGATGGGTGGTCAGCCTGGCTCCTCGACTGGAGGCCTGAGGGGAGCGCTCGACACTGGGGCAGCTTAAAGGGACGGTCCCACACAGCCAGATTCACTTCACTGTCTTTTCACTACGCCTTTTCTATAATGAGTAACTGTGGCTAGTTAAAAAATACGATGCTTACTATAGTCTATCTAACTTTAACTTTGTAGGACACCAACCAATCTAAGAATTAAATAAAAGGAACTGGGAAAAACCAAGAGATGTACCCAAATGCCCCCAAAAACATAAACTCAGTGTTCACAAGCTCAGGAAGCTGCCCTGGAAGAGGCACTACAAGTAAGGTAGGCTGCCTGGGTCACTTAGTGTCCAAACCAGGACACTCTGAGAGTAAAAGGAACACGCTGGGCCAGCAGGTATAAACTGGGCTGTCCCAGGCTCCTCAAGACACACGGTCACAAGCTCTAAAGGGTCCTATCTGTGATGCATCAAGCACAGGCTTGGGCCCCACACTCGAAATGTTAGCTGACCTCTCCAACAAGGTTACCAGCCTAGAATATCCTCTGAATGCCTTATGTATTCATCATGTTTAAAAACAAGTTGGGGAAAATAAGTAGAAAGTGACAGTTAACATGTTTAAATTCCTTTTATTCGAACTTAAGACTTAAATACAGGTAAGAGCAAGTCCTGGTTTCTCTAGGGACTAGAAATGCGTGTTCTCAGAAAACTGTCAACCAGCCTGTCATCTGGAGGAAAGAACCTTGGGCTCAGACAAGCTGGGCACCAGGCCAGGCCAGCTGGTCTGTCTCGTCGCCTTGGCCCCTGGGCGAGTCGGAGCGAGTCTGACAGTTCTCATCGCTAACACGTCACGGCATCGTCACAATTACGTCACGACGGCGTGACTCGACTGTGCCGGCCAGCCAGGCAAGGCAGCACGTGGCAGTGCTCTGACAGCTCTCTGTCAGAGAGAGCTCCCGAGGTCTCAGCAGCACACATCCGAGGACGGCGGGGGCTCCCCCACTCCCGCTGTCCGTGACTAAGTCAGACGGTAACGAAAGCTTCCATCCATCACTCCCATGCACTCTATTCCACCCACGTCACTTCCAGAGTACCGACTCTGAAGTTCCAAAGTAAATGTGGCTGGTACTTTTGTGGTAATCTTCTTTTGCCTTAAAATTAAGTTGCCATAGTTACCAATCATCTTTGCTGGCAGAGAGAGCACAACATTATTTTAAAAATTAGCTTTTTTTAAAATAAATTTAATTTTTATAAGGGTAATGCATGATTATCCATACCTTGTATAAAGTCTAGAAAATGTAGAATCTATAGGTCCTTCTCAAACCAGCTATTCCAAAGACTCTAAGCGACAGTTTGACATGTTTTCTTTCTTAGGCAAGTAAAACTATATATTCATTTTTTTAGCTAAAAATAAGATTTTAACATGCATACTATTTAGAAACTTGCTTTTTTAACCTGATAATATATCTCGGACATGCTTCTGTGTTCATGGTTTCTCTCATTCTTTTCAATATAAATTGATTTTCTAAGTAAACAAACCAAAGGCTTGGGCCATTGTTGAGGAGGGCAAAAAACCACCATTATGGGCTGAGAAATTACTTTTCTTAACTCTAAATTTATTTTGTTGCTGTTATTCACTAAAACAATAGGAGACACTGGGCGTGCTGCTGTGCACCTATAGTCCCAGCTACTTGGGAGGCTGAGGCAGGGGGATTACTTGAGCCCAGGAGTTCAAGGCTGCAGTGAGTTGTGATCGTGCCACTGCACTCCAGCCTGGGCAATGGAGGGTGACCCTCTTTTTTTTTTTTTTTTTTTGAGACAGAGTCTCACTCTTTTGCCCTGGCTAGAGTGCCGTGGCATCAGCCTAGCTCACAGCAACCTCAGACTCCTGGGCTCAAGCGATCCTTCTGCCTCAGCCTCCCGAGTAGCTGGGACTACAGGCATGCACCACCATGCCCGGCTAATTTTTTCTATATATTTTTAGTTGTCTGATTAATTTCTTTCTATTTTTAGTAGAGACGGGGTCTCGCTCTTGCTCAGGCTGGTTTTGAACTCCTGAGCTCAAACAATCCACCAGCCTCGGCCTCCCAGAGTGCTAGGATTACAGGCGTGAGCCACTGCGCCCGGCCAACCCTGTCTCTTAAAAAAAAAAACAAAAAAACCCATAAAAACCAAAAAAAAAAAAAAAAAAACCCCAACAACAATTGGAAGCTAGGGGCCCATTTTCCACATAAAATGATTTTCCTAACACCTGGGCACTTCAGAAGTCAATCCCCAGGCCTACAGAAATGGTGAAAAGCATTCAGAATGACTTCTCCAAGACAGTCGAAGTTTCTATCGCTCTGGTAGGACACAGAAACACAGAAATCAGTCACAATGTTTACCTCAAATCTTGCTTTCTGAACATAGGATTAATAAAACAATTTTCTGGTTCTGTCCCAGATGATATACTAGTACCAATGTTAGTAGCAGTATTTGCCTTCAATGGAATTAGAAAAAAAACCGCATCCTTCTTCCAAGTGCCATAAACGAGCCGGCCCACTGAGGGAGTGCCTTGGAGGGCACGCTTCTCCCAGAGAGCACACCCGCCTGCCCCCGGCCCACTGCGGGTCTCCAAGGAGCACAGCAGTCCTTCCCGGACAGACACAACCCCGCGACCCCACGGACAGACCACATGCAACACAGCCAGCCCCCCTGGGCGAGCCGGCCTGGTACCTTCTGGGTCCTCTTCCCCCTGCTCCTCCCCATCCTTCAGGCTCTGTCTGCTGAGGTCTGTCACACCGCTGCCACCAAGCTTCCTCCCTTCTTCGTCACCCGACTCTTCGGATTCGACCCGCCTGTCAACTGAACCCACACGTCAGTAAGAATCCACAGCCACTTTATGTGGCAATTTGAGGAATATGTAACAGATTTGCACCCAGCCTAAGTCAAAAAGACCATTCAAAGATGTTTGTTGAATCTGGTTCAATGAACACCTAAGTGTCTCCCATGTCCCAGTACCATGTGAGGCACACCGTGGCAGGAGATCTGGGGGAGAAAGCAGAGCAGAGGCCACAGGGATACTTAAGAGAATAACGTACTATTCCTGCCCTCAAGGAACTTGTGACAAATTGCCGAGTGTTCTGAAAGCCTTGGGATCATCTGTGGTCAGATGTACTGATGGTACCACACAGTGAGGCACCTCTTGAATGACTCTCACTTTTGGCCTGGATGTCCTCTGCAAGGGGACCACTGTGAACCCTCAAGCCACATACCTTCATCCATGCTCCACTATCCATTTGGCCAAGAAAACCAGCTCAGGTCACAGGCCCACGTTCTGAAAGGAATCAAGACTAACTCAAACCAGACTGGAGGGGCACCAGTGAAAAACCAGAATATAGCCAAGAGTGCCGACCACCCTAGGAAAAGTCACTGGGCAGAGTGCTACCGACTCCAAGCTTTTAAAGGTGGTAAACAAATATTTTTTTAAAAAATATTTTCTGAATTAATGAGTAAGGCAATGATTAAATGTGGCAGGTAAAACTTCTTTAGCGAGGTTGTCAAATCACTTTTCTTTTTCTCACTTTTTTTCATGACCTCTTTTGGAAGACTGACTGGAAGATGTGGGGCAATGACATGACTTGGAATTAGCAACCATCCTGAAAGTATTCTCTTTCCTGACTATGGCTTATCTAGAAAGGGATGTGCTCTTTGAGGGAAAGAAAGTTCTGGTTCCTCCTGGTATTTCTGGCTGTGCCTAGCAAAGGAGCACCCAGGAAACAATTGCTGTATAAAACAAGTCCTTATAAAATCTACCTCCAAAACATCCAAATTCATTCCTTCTTCCCTGTCCCAGCAACCGCCTTGGCTCAGCTCCTACTTATTACCTCGGACCTGGGCTCCTGCCCTGCTGCCTGACCGTCCCCCTCTGACTTGTCTTGCCCCGTTTAATCTATTCTCCATTGACAGAGATTCTGATCTTTGACTCCAGAATTATTTCTGGAACGCCAACGGCTCTTCCTGAGTTTTCTTCGTGCCCCCAGAGACACAGCTTTGGCAAATCATTCCTTTTCAAAGCCTCAGTCTCCTCATACGTAGAGGCACAAGAGCAGTTAGCATGTGCATGACAGGCGGTAGATATTTAACAAATTAGTTATCACCAAGCATGGGCACTCTGTGGTCCAGGCTTAAGGAAATAAAGTTCTCTCTAAGAGGAGAACTCCAGGGAGAGGAGCAGAGTGTGAAGAGGCTAGGAGGGGCTCAGCTAATGAAGGGTCACCAAACTGAAACCTGAGAGCAGCAGAGAGGGTCCGGAGCACGGGACAGCAGACCGGCATGTAGGAAAGTGACTGGGGTACTGGGGGAGATGCGGTGGTGAGCAGGGCAATGAAATCTAGCCTGGAGAAGAATGATGTCTGAGTTAGGTACTGGCAGTGAGAATGGAGGAGGTATTGAAGATTTGAAGATATTAAAAAGTAGAGGTGTCAGAGCTCCTTGACTAACTAGACATGGGCGGGAGTGGGTGAGAAAAGCCTGGCTTTTGCCATTTGCTAAGACATGGAAACAGCTGAAGAGGGATAGGGGAAGAGGCACTTCTTACTTACAAGATTCAAGCGTATCAAAGTCTGAGACCTTTAACACCCCCCCACAACCTTCTCTGGCCAGCCTCACTGGCCACTTCCACCCTATCGCATACGACCGTCACCCTTGGTCAAACTCTCCTTCACACCCTTTTGCCTTAGACTATGCAGTTTCCTTTGTCTGGAGTGACCTTTGATCTTTTCCCTAACCCTATCCCCAACCTGCTTGACTTCTAGCTATTCTTCAAGGTCCACAGCTCAGAGCTGGCCTTGGGTGTGCAGCCGTCACCACTCCCAAACATGCCAGCTCTTCCCTAGCACTTTTCACATGAGACAGCGACTGCTCTTCTGGGAGGTCTGCACCCCTCACCAAACCAGGGGAGCCAAAAGCATTTAAGCACCCCAGGACACGACTGACGCCCCAGCTGGGCGTAAGTGTATGTGAATGTGCGTGCCTGTGTAACTGCATTTGCACACATGTGATTATGTACACATCCACATGTGCACGTATACCATATACACATACATAAGCAGATACAATTTCTTTCCAACAAATTGAAAAGGAGGAAGAAAGTTGAACTGTATTTTCAAAACTATGACAGCCTTGAAAACAGGCACCGCCTTCTATAAAACTCAACCTTTCACTCCTCTGCTTTTCCACACCCCTTCACCACAGTCCATTCGCTTTCAAGAGGGGACCCTTCTCTATCGCTGCCACGTGAACCAGCGAGCAGACTCCGGTAGGTCCCAGGGCCTGCGCCTCAGTTTCCTCGTCAGCTGACGGAGGACCGCTCCCCCGCTTCCTCGACTGTCAATCTCGGAGGTTCGGGGCGAGGCTCCAACCGGGCTTCGGAGCCACCGCGTCCCACTCAGCCCCACCCCGCGGGCCTGGGCTCGCGCCGCCGCTCCCCCGCTCAGCTCTGGGTTCCTCCGGGCCGATGCCGCCCTCGGGCCGGGGCTCTCCCGAATCTCCCCCGCGCCCCTGGGTCCGGCTGGCCGCTGTCAGGGGGCCGCGCGGCGGTGGCTCGAGGCGGGACGCCGAGTTTCCCTCCCGCAAGCGTTAGTGCCTGCCCGCCGCTCCCTCCGCCCGTTGCCCGCCGCCCCCAAGAGCCGCTCACCCTCCATCATCTCCTGCGACTGTTGCTGGCCCGCGCCGCGTTCCGCCGCCATGTTGGCTGCTCTTCCTCTTTCCGGAATCGATGCCACAGGCCCTCAGCCAATCAGGGTTCCCGGCTCCGAGGCGGCCCAGCCAATGGAATCCCGGCGCAGCGGCCGGGGCGGGGCCGACGCGCTTGCGCGGGCCCAGCGCCTCACAGGAGCTGTAGTCCCTTCGCGAGGCCGCCCGCCTCGCCTCCCGCTACCAAGTCCGGGAAGCCGGGCCCGGGGTGCCGGCGCAGGACGCTCGGAGACGCGGCCGCGGGCGGACGGAGAGGGCCTCGAAGCGGAGGGGAGAGGCGCTCTGGGCTCGCGGGTTGGCTCAGGTCACTGTCCCGACCTCGGAGCCGTGGGGCGACAGGGGGCCGGGCGGATCTCTCCGTGGGTGGCAAGGTGCGGGCAGGTTCCACCTGCATCCCCGGCTCCGCAAGCCTCGCTAGCCGCGTCTGGACAATGGGCCGAGGGGCAAGAGCGGCACCTTTCCCGGCGTCCCCGGGCTGACTGACCCCACGCGAATGGCCGCCTGCTCTTGACGTTCAGCGCAGGGCGGGCAGGTGCGGGGCGCCAGCCGTGCTCCGCTCACCGGCCGTTGCCAGCTCAGTGCAGGTGCCGCAGCCCTCGTCCGCCCCTCGGAGCCGTCCCGTGCTTCTCGCCCAGGACGAGGCCGCCGACAGGCGCGCTCCGCACTGCTCACCCTTTTTGATTCCGAGGTGGGAGGAAACGGCGTCCGCCCGGCGGGGACGGCGGTGCGTCCATCTCTTTTGACTTCTACGAGGCGCCGTAGGGACGTCTGGTGCTGCGTCCCTAGTAACAGTTAGGGCGGGCTTCTTGGCTCGGCTCATTCGGCCCGGCTCGCAGGTGCCAGTGATTGGTCTGCGTTGCCTGTCAGTCGGCACTAGTCGCTCAGCGATTGGCCTGTGGGCTAGAAGCGCGGATGGGCTCCCTCCCGCGGTTTGAAGCGAGCTCCGCGGCGGGACCCTCGCAGGCCTTAGGTGAGATACCTTCACCGGAGAACGGGCCAAGCTCGGCCACGTCCCGAGGGCTGCTGTCGGCCCTGCGGCCCCGCGCAGCGGCCCGAGGGTCCCTCCGCGGCCCTCGGACCAGCCCAGCCCCGACTCCTGGCGCCCCTCGCGCGCCGCCGGCCGCCTCCGCTCGGTGCCGGACGCGGGTCCGGCCGTTACCCGGGCCCGGCCGCGCTTCGGGCGCGCTCGGCGCTGTGCGGGCGGCGTCCGTCCACTGCCTGCCCCACCGGAAGACAAGCGCCGTAGAACCGCGCCCTGCCGTGCGCCCGGCGCCCTCTGGCTGCGGCGGGCCTGAAACGCGGGCATGTCGGTGACCGGTGGGGGAGCGGACGGGCTGTGGCGCGCGTCGCCGCCCGACTTGCGGCAGGTTCCCCCGCGTGTCCGGGTGGTGTCCTTGCTCTTCGTCATCTCCACCGGCCTTGCGCTTCCCAGAGCGGGACGGGGGCCTGCGCTGAAGACTCGGGATGCCGTCTTGATGCCGTCTATCCCGCCCGCACCTTCCACACCTCCTCAGTAAATCCGCCCGATTCTCTGTCGGTTTTTCTCTTAACGGGTTCCCTTATCTCCATCTGTTTGCTGTTACCTCAATTTAAGACCTTATAATTTCCTTCCTGGAATACTGTAACGTTTCTGCTTGTTTCCAGCCTTGCCCCACATTTCCCCTGGAACGATCTTTGTAACCTGAATATCTGGTCGTGTTACTCCAGGCCTTGAGTGCTTTAGAGTCAGTGTTTTGGGATAAAATCCAGACTGCTGGGGCAGGCATAGAAGGCCCTGGGAGTTAGGCCCGGCTTTGCTGGTGCCGTCTCCACACGCTGTCTTGTGTCCTGGACTCCTCTCTGGGAGTCTTTGCCTTACAGGGGCCCTAGAGGCTGCTTCACTCGGCTTTGCAGGGCTCGTCTCTGCCTGTGCCGCCTCCAAAAGCCTTTGCCGACCTTTCTGATCCGGGAGGTGCCTTTTGTTTAAACCCTCTGCAGTAGCCATCGTCCTGCGCATGCACTGGGATGCCCTGATGCAGGCAACAGCCACGGGCTCAAGACAGCTCTGACAGTGAGGAAGGCAGTTGGCTCCCAAACCCGAAGTCCAGAGGAAAGCAGGTTTTAGGGGGCTCGACTCAGTGGCTCGGAATTTTCCAGGACTGCATCCTTGCCGTTTTCTTCTCTGCTGTCCGCCGGGTTGGCTTCCTCCTGAGGCTGGTTCTGCTCTTTGTTGTACAGAGATGCTGGGAGCAGTTGCAGCTGTTTGCTTCCTAGTTCGTGTTCTGGTGAGAGAGACGTGGTTGCTTCTAGAAGGTCGCCTGAAAGAGCAAGGACTACTTTTCTAGAAGCTCTTTGCAGAACTCTCCTTGCTTCTGTTTGATCTGAGGTGGGGTCACTCATGCCTCTGGGATCGAAATTGGCAATGGGAATAGGATTTCTTTTTGACACCATCAGGTGTTGTCTGAGTTTGGCTCCCCACGTCTGTTGCTCAGTGGATACAGGAAAACTATTCTAAAAGCCTAGGCCTGGACTTGCAGGCATTTCTGGTTAGCATTTGAGTAAAAATCAAACCTGTGAAAAAGTCAGTGATCTGAGGTCGTGTGAAACCAGACTCTGTGCTCAGAGGCCAGGCTGTGGGGGTGGAGTCGAGCGCTTGGTGCTTT